GGCCCTAGGGGTACCTAAAAATAGCAAGAGGATCTAGGAGAGGGTAAGAAATGACCAGGGAACTCAAAGACCCATTTGGGTTTCGAAAAGTAGGGCTCCAGAAATGGGATAGTGAACATAAAACCCCATAAGAACATGAAAGAGGAGGAATGGGAGGCCAAGGTCGACCCCAACCAGAAGGAATGGGATATACGGTATGGATTCTATAAGTTCACTCTGGGCTGGTACAGACTGGTATGCTGGATCTACAATTACGGAGGACACAGGGCCAAAGACTGTTCCAACAATTGGAGAGTAAACCCCAGATCTCTAGCTCTGAATTGCATTAAGTGCGGAAGTTTTGGCCACAAGGCAAAGTGGTGCACAGATGCAGGGGATAGAAGACTAGAGATTAAGAAAATCAACATCCTAGTACTCCCCGAGAAGAATAAGCATTTGGAAAACGACAGTGGAACCTCAGAAAATATAAAAAGCAGGTTGGCCCCAATAAAAATAAAACCTCTGAAGTGCTGGACATGCAGTGTGGCTGGACACTTTTCAACCAACTGTAAATGGCAAAGCTGTTGGCAATGTGGAAAGGTTGGACATTTGAGAAGTAACTTTCCAGAAAAAAAGGGTGCTGAGTGTGGAAGGAGAGAGGCAAGGAAGTCGAGAGGACCAGTCCCCACTTTAACCAAGGAAAGCCCCAAAAGAAGCTGGTTGAGGAAGAGGAACAGAGTCCAGATATTTCAACTGTTTAAAGAGGGACCGGACTTCACCTGCAACGTATTGGTGGGGCACAAGACGGTAAAAGCTTTAGCAGATACTGGAGCTTCAGTCTCCTTAATAAATTCCAAGGTGTTTAGACATCTGGGGTTATGTAGAACTCCAACCATTGGATTTCTTAATTAGTGAAGCAGATAATAGTCAGATGAGTATAGAGGGTATGTCATGGCTACCATTCAAATTGGCAAGGACCACAGGTGAACTTAAGGTGTATGTAGCACCTGATTTGTGTGGGGAATTAATTTTGTGGAGTGACTGGCTTAGGCTGAACAAGGCCCAAATCAACTTTGACCCAGCTACAATGATATTAGAAGGGGTGGAAATCCTATTGGAGAATGAAGTGGAAAGGAAATACCCCGTAGTGGCCCAGACCAATGTGAAACTTCCCCCTAGAATGGCTATTTCATGTGAATGGAGAAATTAACAAAAGGGTTATATCAAATAACACCTACAGAGAGGTATGATAATGGTGGAGATGAGAAGAGGTGACCTTGTGTATTTCCATGGTAGAAGGGATGAAAATGGTGCCCCTATTGTTGGCTAATACAGCCAGTAAAACTATTAGAATAAAACAAAGAGAAGAGTTAGGATATGCTTGTGTGATAAAAATTATGAAGCAAATGAGAGTAAGCAAGAACTATGGAAGAACGGTAGAGACTAGTAGCCCCAAAATAAAGGAAGAAGACTTGATAGTGCCTGAAAGATATAAAGATGAGATAAGGAAACTGCTAGAAGCTAATTGAGATTTGGTAGCTAATACTGACAAAGAGTTAGGACAGACTGGGACAGTACATATGAAAATAGACACTGGTGACCACCTACCCATTAGATTGAGGCCTTATAGAACCCCAATCCATAAGAGAAAATTAGTGGAAGAAGCAGTAAATGAGATATTAGATTGGGAGTAATAGAGAGATCTAGGTCCACACAGAGTTTTACAATAGTTATTGTGGAAAAGAAGGATAGAGGACAGATTTTGCATGGATTTTAGACAGTTAAATGCCATTACAAAACCATTAACGGTACTTTTGCTCTGGATCAAGGATATTCTATCACTTTTGGGAAGATCAACCTGTTTTTCTACTTTGGATCTAAGGTCAGGTTATTGGCAAGTAACTCCGGATGAAAAGGAACTGGAGAAGACAGCTTTTACTTGTCATATATGTCTATTTAATTTTCATGTGATGCCATTTGGGTTATCTAATGCCCAGGTGTATTTACTCAGTTAATGTCCATAGTGTTAGGAGGTATGGAAGATTTTGTCATGGCTTAGGAGAATCAGCAAGATCACAAAATTACTTCTCTGTGGAGTAAGTTAGAAGCAGGGACTTTTTAGCCTTGAATTTTCCCAGATCAAAATTTATGTTGCTAAAAAGTGAAGAAGCAAATAGATGTAAAGTTGATGATTTAAGCACCTGTGCATCCTCGAGCCCAATTTATGTGACTGGCAGTCATGATCTATGTGTACTTGAGTTATTTAGGAAAAATAAAAGGGGAATTAAGGAGAATTGTCAAACAGAAGTATTACCCAGTGTTATATTACCTTCAGCAATTAGCATATAGGATGGCATTTGGGCAGTAGCCACCCAAAGAAAATTACAATTCTCTGAGGTCTATGAAGAAAAGCCCACTAGAACTATAAAAGTGGGGCTACCATTATTTATTGTAGAATTACCCATGAGTTGTGGCGCCCATGGATCCTCAATGTCACTTCCCCTTTATTACCAGGCAGAAGAAAAATTTGAGGAAAACAAATCTTTCCTGAAATTAATGCCAACTAACGTTAGTGAATGGACAGAATTATGAGAATTCCCTGAGATTTCTTTAAAGAAAATGCCTGACTTCTTGAAGCCCTTTTACCCTAGAAGAGTCGAAATCTAAATTAAGCCTAGTGGGAAGAACTAGTCCGAATTGGAAGGAGAATATGAGTACTATGATAGTTTGGCCGACTGTTTTGGGATCCTTATTGATTATTTTAGAAGTAATAATCTGGTGAACAAAAGAGGCAAGTGATGTTGTCATGCAAATGGAGTGAACTGGCTGGTAAGTACCCAAGCAAAAGACGGATTCCATTAAGTGAGCTTTATAAAAGTATAACCAATACGGATGTAAACAAACCTACCATGGAGTTACTGTTTGAATCAATGACTGTTGGAGAGAGCCCCGAATCCGCTATAGAGATCATCAAGCCCCCTGTTAAATCAAGGCAGGGCAGAAAAGAGAAGTGAATACAGACAATGACTGATTGAACAGTAAGAGTGTTGAGGGCTCCCATAAGTAATTGATATGTGATTGTTATTCTGCTTATTGAATTTTGATTAAATAGGTAAAAAAAAAAAAAAAAAAAAAAAAAAATTTATATATATATATATATATATATATATATATATATATATATATACACACACAACTTACAAGAGAATAATTATTATTCCACATGTGGAATATCAGAACAGTGCCATGAACTGTTGAGGACTACTAAACTGACAAGAACTTTTAATCCTTGAACTGATTTAACCAATTTTAAATTTTTTTCTTTCCTTTTTATTTTGGATGAAGTAATACCTGCATGTGAAAGGTATAATGGACAATTGCATTAGTGGAATTAATTTTTTTTTTGTTTTTTTGACAGTCATTGAACTATATATGTCAATTACGAGTAATAAACAAAAAGGGTAAGGGAGAGATGTGACCCTGAAATAATAATAATGATAATAAAGGAGGATATGCTGTAAAACAGAAAACACCAAGATGTTAATATGCTGTAAGGACTTGGAAATGGAAATGTTACAGAGAATTAATTTAGAACACAAAATACAATCTTTTTGTAAGTGTACAAACAATATCAAATAGAAAAATTACTGGAACAATAATAATTTGGAACTTTAAAAAAAAAAAAAAAAAAAAAGAAAGAAATGGATTTTGACACTATCAGTATCAAAGTTAAAATTAAGGATGTTTTGATCTAGAATTTATTTTTAAAACAAGAATCTCTGTAGTTACAAAGTGTAGTAGAATAATTAATAGCAAGGTGATAAACAACAGCGTCTTGTTGTGAACCATGGAAACCAATCACTGAAAAAGTAAATTGTTTATTCTCAGAGGAGTGAAGATGTAGTTTGGTAGTATGTCAGCACATTCACACAAGAAAAACAGATATGTCACAAGTCATGGACACATGAGGGCAGTCCTCTTAATAAAAAGGCAAGCCAACCGGAGGAGACAGAGTTTTTGGGTTCATCTGTCTTTCAATGCAGTTGAACTGAGTGGAGAGACATCAGAGATTGAAAGGGAAGCATCTGCTGTGTGTTGCTAAAGCTGAGGGCAAAGAAGCAAAATACTGCCACTAACATCTAAGTATCACTACTCTTGCTACTACTAATACCACTATTACTACTACTGAGAATGGGAACATTGAAGGTTGTAGTAGCTGCACTAACAAAACAGAACAGAAAGAGCACATCTCTCCTTTACTGAAATTATTCAAAGTATTTGTTTTGTTATTGTTCACATACAAGAAACATTCAACTTTGTGCAACAAGAATTATTTTTTTTTTTGTGTTTGCTTTATTATTATTATATATATATATATATATATATATATATATATATATATATATATATACACACACATGCAAAAAAAAAAAACTTTTGTCTTTTCAAAATTAAATCAACTTGGTCATATTTATTTTTCTGTTAACCCGATTCTCACCCAACAAACTCACTGGTGGACCAACAGAGAGCTTCTGGATTTCTACAATCTGATGACCACTCTCCAAGACCAAAACAATCACAATATGACTGGTGGTTGGCTTCGAATTTACATTGGAAACTGGAGACTTGTGTCTAACCTGTAATACTGGACCGTACCAGACCAACAGCTGGTATTGCAGAGTGTGTGGGTCCAGTGGGGTGAGGATACAATGTTACAATCTATTGAAAGATACATTATCACCTTAGCGAGAATTATGCATGGCACAATAAAGAAAAAAGAATACTTGCTGTGAGTTACCCCTGCCACTATATTTTGAAATGTAGTTCACTTAGATAATGTAGTTCTCTTCAACGTTGTTGCTGATGTTGAAAAAACAGCAAATCACAACCATGCTCAAATAGTTGATTTAATAATTAGTTTTTCTATGGCTTAACCCTTTGCAGTTACTGTTTTTCAATGTGATGTGGCCATAAATACTATGCTTAAGTAGAGAATTGAACTAAAACATTCACATACTTACACTGGTCACTTGAATGTGAGGGATAACTTCCAGTCATGCTCCATGTAAAATTTTGACTGTGGCTGGGGGAACCACTTCGACCCATCAATACTGGGTCATCTGGATAGGCAGACAAGCTTGACCCCATACGCATGGCATCTGCACTGGAAGGAGAGCTGTAAAAGATACATATTAAAAAAAAAAAAAAAAAAAGTGGATTATTGACTCAATGGAAAAATTACAATTAAAAACTGCAAGCAAAAATTACAATGTTGGTTTTCATCACTGTAACTTGCAAGTATTTGTTCCAAACAAAACAGTCTAGACCTACAGCTTCTTGCATCTCTAATAAAATATTTCAAAACAGATGGTTCATTTTTAAACTTTAAATCCTTTGAATTGAGAATAAACATTGACCTATTCCAGAGATTTTAAATCTTTCTAACCACAGCTGGTCAAAGGAGGGGAAAAACAATATGAATATTAAAATTGTTGTGGAGTTATTTTGCAGTGGAGGCTTGTATTTGTACTAAATTGGTCTTAAATAAGTTCGACGTACAAAACGTTAGGAACTTGATATAATAGGTATTACGCAGAGTAATCTTATTGTGGTCGCTGACTACTTTCGTATTCGACTGTCGACTACTGTCGTCTGACATCAACTGACCCTCGTTTCTCTTACTACTCCTACTTATATTAGGTGGGAGAGTCTATTAACTATAGAATAGGTGTGTTTCACCATAACAAAAATGGAAATTAACTAATTGGAATTATTCACATTGGGAACTAAAGTGTCTTATGCTGCAAAATACTTTTAAGTGACAAATGCAAACCAGTGTCACTGGGCATGTCTACAAGTTGACCAATATAGATCCTTACAGTTATATTTGAAAATAATAAAATAAGCAACTAATTACAAAGAATACCAATTTGCTGGTAATTTTCCATGTCTTTATAATTTTGGATAATCTTAGTTTTATATAGATGCTAGCTATAATTTTCATTTTCCTTGCAAAGACTTGCTGTAATTGGCATATTATTATTGAGTTTATCCAATTCAAACTTTAGGTTCAAGAGTTCTTAAATTTTTAAAAAGCTTCCATTTGAGAAAAGATTCTTATTAACCATTCTCAGTAATTTGCATTTAACATAATACATGTAATTTCTCTTGTTTAGCTAAGTGGGTCAACTTAGCAAAAATATTTTAAAATTATTTTCTTATAACTAAGCAAGTGACACAAAGACTGAATATAGGTAGGTGATGTAATATTCTAAATTTCTCAAAGGAATCAAATTTGAAATACCAATAACATAGTTCATTTAACACACAAGACTAAAAACCATAATCCTAAAGGAAACTTAAGTTTTCACAAAATAGAGATAGTTAAAGATTAAAATGCTCTAAAATTTTTTGGCAATACTTTAACACCTTCAAATAGGGACTTTTTTCATATGTGTATTTTTTATTTAAATTTTAAGTTGAGTTCTGGCAAAAGAAGACTGCACATTTAGATTATATAGCGATGAAAACGGAGACTTACCTCGTCAAACCAAGCAACAGCATGTCACATGTATTCTATGACGGAAAATGTGGCAAAAAAGAAAATTACTTACCAAACAAAAGGGCACATATCCCGCATGCCATGCTGAAAATGGAATATTTGAATTAAAAAACAAGTCCATCACAGGAATCGCTATAAAAGTATTTTGATATGCAAAATACTGAACATCCTCTCCCAGCTGTCAACAAATGGAAAAAATGGTCGTCCGATAAAAGCAGTTGGTGTTCTCGAATTGGGGAAGCAAAATTCAGGTATTTTGGCCACCACATTTGTTGGAGAAGTTATTTTTCTGACTGGTTGCGTGCATTGTGATTTGTGAGATAGTACCTGTGAATCGAGTTTTTGGCATTTCTTTTTGCCCCCCAATGTTCAAATCTGAACTTAGTGATTTATTCTCTGTGACGTGGAAATAATCTGTGACAAACATTTCCTTTGTAATCCCAGATCACTTACAAGCTATTTTGGCACTAGAAAACAAGACATCAAGTTGTTACCAGAGTTTGATGGTTCAGTGACGGGACAAGCAGTTACTGAATGGATGCAAAAAAAAAGAAAAAAAAGAAAATGTTTTGACCTGTGTGGAATTAAAAAGGTTGGACATGTTCTTCCTTTGAGGTTAACAGGCGATTGCATTTACTGTTCACCAGCAGTTAAACTCAAAAAAATCAGATGTCGCATATGAATAAAAATGAGCCCTTCAGATTGCCTTTTGCTGATTGTTTCTTGGCAGATGCAGGAAACTGATAGAATGCCGTTTGCTGGGATTTTTAGTCCATCGACATGTTTCTAGCCAACTTGAAGAACCTTCAAAATTGGTCTATTTGGCATGATATTTGTTTTTTAATCAGGATTAGTAATGTGGTTCATAGCACAAGGGTTATCTGCGACGCCAAGCAACTACTTGTAGCATCTTCCAGGATGGAAGAATATTAATACAAACCAACTGTTGGACTGAGCTCAGGGGACATAATGAAAGATCAAATTGCAACTGAGGAAATGGTTGGAGCTACCATTTCACCAGTTCATGATAAACATCAAATGTTAAATTCGAAGGGAGAGTATATGATGTTATCAATGCACTGGGTAAATCACCTTACAGGGACTGCCCAGTTCATATAGAAATGCCTGTCATTATAAATAGATCATATTTATCGTTGCTTCGATGTCAAGCAGATCGCCACATTGCTTCATTGTGCCCAGGGAAAATATAGGACAAGATATAAAGAAGTATCTTTGTCCGAAAGGTATGAATGAAGTGAATGGTATTGGAACAGAATTAAAGTGGAACTGGTGGACACTGCTGCTTTCACAGACATCGTGAGTAAGTTAGCCTGTCAATCTAAAAGGGTGACTGAGGTGAATGTAGACACCGTAGCAGGGAATACTCTCAAATGTTGTCGGGAGTTAAAGTATTAATTGACATGAACAACACAATCACTATCAACATGATGTCTTGATTTGGATGGAGAGCTACTGGGTTTTGAGTTGTTGCTTGATTTAAGCGCCATTAAAAAGTTGCGGCTTCAAATAACAGAGTGGTGAGAATGTAAAGGTTTCCCAAACCTGGGAATTTTGTTTTACCACTATCAAAATAGAAGAAATTGATTTCTGTGTAGCACGAAATGAGGATATTGTAAACATTTACATGGAATTGGTCTAGTGCTCATTTTGAAAGAGCATATTTAGTTTGAGAACTCGGACAGATATACCCAATACCAACAATAGTCAGGAGGAATTGAATCTTTTGGAGCTGCAAACTTAGCTTGAAAACAGTTGGTTTCAGCCTTATCCTGAAAATTCCAACGGTCCATTTTTAAAGGTTTAATTCTGTTAGTTGTGGTGGTGCAGAAAAACAAAAATTTTCTACCCAGTATTGAACTATCACTGAGGTGAATGAGTGTCCGTTGCGCAAAGCCAATGCTGACATGTATGCACAGAAACTGAGGGACAGAATTTCGTAAAAAAGAACCGGAGAGGTTCATACTTGACCCAGCAGGCCCTATTTAGAAACACACATCCATAAGTATTTTGGCCCTTTCAAAGATTAATCTTCAAACTCCAAATAATTTTGCTTGACCAACATTAAGAGGGTTGAATGTTGCCATCAAGATAACATTGCTTATAATGGACTTCAAAATGGGGAAAGATGATTAAACTCAATTTGAAACACATATTACATTTTGATGAAATTTATTCATGAGAGCATGATAGATGGCAATTGAGCATAGAAAGAGCACTACCTGCATTTGGTTTGACCAGAAAGGATCTGGAGCAGTTACAGAGGTGGCCAAGCCTCAATGTGTGCTGGACGCTATGTCACGGAAGATAACAACAATGGTTTAGAGATGAAAATCGAAAAAATGGTATTCCATCAGTTCCTGAGGTCCTGAGGACGATGTAACGTCTTCTTGGCTTGGAAAATATGGGACTTCCTGTGTGGGTTTTTCATGTTGAGCATCATTTATAAAACGCAAGGGACAGAATCGATCATGTCTGGTTGGGACAATGAATTGACATTTGTCCCCTTCAGAACAAAATTGAGGATATAGCGGAAAGAATTTTAAAATGACATACACATTTTCAAACAATAACACACACACCTCTTCTTGGACTTCGAAACTTTTGTAGGTGGGTATAAAAAACATGAAACTGGCAAAGCCAGAATACTAGTCAGGCCATGGAGAATTGAGGCAATGACATTTAGTTTTTGAAAAACTTATTTTTTTGCACTAAGAAGTAACATCAAAAATGAGAATTCCGGATAAGCTCACCAGAGTATAAAATTGGAACAATAATAAAAATATGATAAAGAAGGAAAAAGAACCAATACACAAGATATGCGCTGAAAAATATGATCAAATACATGCCATACATTGAAAGAGTATGGACATCAATTAGTCAGGGGCAGTTTTTTATATTTTAGAGACATCTTCACCAAGACATGAAGGCGGCTAAAGACAGTGGTCAGAAATAAAGAATGCCAGCCAATTGACCCAGCCTCAAAGTTTATAATTTGGTAACCTGGGTGTGACTGAAATCTGGACCAACATAAAATGGACATTAGCTGATTTACATGGGCAACACTACCTAATTAATTGATTGTGGCTCTAGTAGATTAATCTGAGTGCAACGCAAACTTCAACAAGAGGAGAAGCGCCATTTTTAGTTAGAAAGTTTTTTTTTTTGAAGCCAACCCACCATCAGAAATCCTGACCAACAATGACAAAAATTCCAGTACGTCCTTTAAAGATTTCTTGGATGACTTGAGTCCAACTTCATTTACTGCAACCTATGTTCCTGCAGGAAAATATAGTGGAAAGATCTCATTGAGCATAAAAAGAATTGCATCAAGAAAAGTGTCCAATAATGGAGGCAGAATACTGGCCTAATATCATGCCGAAGGAGATATATCATCAACTAAGCCTGCCAATATGATTCACTGTTACCAACTGAAAGTGAAGAGAACAAAAATACAACATTAATGGAAGATTGTTGTAAGAATAAGATATGTACAAAGTTGAGGAATAGAGAGTATGGATGAAAAGTCCCCATGGCCAGTCTATGAAAGGTATCAAGTCTAAATTGACAGACATTGTAAGTCCACAAACTGGAACTAGTTGACGGATGCCACGGCATAAAAGATCTTCACCTTTTCATGATTCTGATACATACTGACAAAGCAATCTGATGAGAATTCATCATCCTGACAGTGATCGGATAATTGAGATCAATTGAAGACAATGCTAAAGACAGAACTTCCGGAAAAAGAGATTATGTTGATGCAACAAAAAACTCTAACAGACATGTAAGGGAGATAATTCCATTGAACAAAAGCACCAGGATAAAGAAAGCTGCCCAGACTGTTCGATTTCAATAGTGAGGTCCTGGGGAGGGCCTCCAAAGAAATTTTTACTTACCTTGTCAAAAGACCTGATAAACATGTGTATTCTATGAGGAAATTGGCAAAAAAGAAAATTACTTACCAAACAAAAGGCAGAATATTCCACATGCCATGCTGAAGATGGAATATTTGAATTAAAAAAAAGTCTGTCACAGGAGTCACTATAAAAGTATTTTGATATGCAAAATATCCTGAACATCCTCTCCCAGCTGTCAACGAATGGAAAAAATTGTCGGCCTATAAAAGCAGTTGGTGTTCTGAATCAGGGAAGAAAATTCAGGTATTTTGGCTACCACCTTTGTTGGAGAAGGAGGTTATTTTTCTGACTGAGTTATGTAGCATTGTGATTTGTGAGAGAGTACCTGTGAATCAAGTTTCGGCATTTCTTTCCCCCGATATTCCAAGTCTGAAAAGTGATTGATTTATTCTGTGACCTTGTGGAAATAATCTGCGACAAACATTTCCTTTTAATCCCAGATTTTTTTGAATATTACTAACAAAACAGTTATTCCATCCGACTTTGCAAATAAATATTTTCTGATTGACAACTGGATTGATTTTTTATTTTTAAACTATTTGCACAAATAAATGGGTTGAAAGGGCCAGATCAAAAAGACTATATATGGATATCAGCATCTAACATATCCATTCTCTGATTATGTTGATAATATTAATTAAAACTAATGCAAACCAACTGCTGCCAATCAATTTAGATTGTCCCCATTTCTCAGATACATCTGTCCTACTTACAGCAGATGATTGTTTATTATTTTTAAAACATTGAAGTAACTCACTCAAGTTATTAATATAAGTTCATCTCAGAAATTGCAAAAAGTAATAAAGTAAATAACTTACTTGATTGTTTCTGTATAATGGCAGTGTTGTTTTGGTAAATATTTAATCTTTTCCATGCTAGTCTATAAAAATTTTTTTCAGTTTCAGGTCTTATGCTATTAGGATATATTTTAAACACAATATACAGTCTACAATTTTTTTCAAAGTTAAAAAGGATTTACAGTTTTAAATTTCCTTGACAAATATTGGACTTGTTAAGCTACTTTTAAAGAAATTTAAATTTCAAACTAAAAAAAAATTATTCAAATAACTAATTTTTAAATATATGATTAATCAGAGATCTAACAGAATACATAAAAATAGTCTCATATTTTAGAATCTTATGCTAAACGTTTCAAGACATTTTTGATAGCAATTGAGAAATAAATTTTACAGTGAGTTGAAAATTTTTATCAAGGTATTCTCCATCCAGTTACAAAAGCAGTAAATCTTACAGACATTAACAATGGAAAAGTAACTAGAATACTATAACCAAAAAGAATCATTAGGCTGTATGTAGTTACTGCCACTCTTTTTTTATTGAAACAGCATAGGACTGTAAATAAAATATTAAAACTCAAAAAACAAAATTTTATCAAAAATGTTTCTTGTTATTAAGAGGAAAGACAAAAATATTTTTTATTATTTTATTAAATATTTTAATCCTTTCGAGCACATTCAAAAATTTGGGCTAAAAATCTATTTTTTTGCATTAGCAGTCAACATAATATTTACAATTAGTGTTTTAGTGCTTTTTTTTTTTTTGAAATTTTGCAAAAATCAAATAATTTTCAGATTTTAATGATTTTTTATTCACAAATGAAATTTTATTTTTAATTTTTATTATTATTTATCTTATATTAAATATATATATATATATATATATATTTTTTTTTTTTTTTATTTTTTACATATCTTTCCACCTCCCAACTTTCATGAAATTTCAAAAAATTTGTTCTATTAGTTAAAAGCAGGACTTCTTGGAGAATCTAAATTTATATTTTTTTTTTTTTCCAATCTGCCACTCATTTACCAAAAACCTGCTTCAAATCGAAAAATAAAAAATGCAATAAAACTGACATTATTTAATTAAATAGCTATTGTTTTTATAAATAACATTTATTAAGGACACTATTGTCTTAAATCAATGAATTATGAATTTTTACAAGAATTGTTTTCATTCTTTTTTCAATTTTAATTATCTTATTTTTTAAAAATCTTCTAAAATTCTACATTACTTTAATCTCATTAGGTGATATTGTTATTAAGTGAAAACTATATTTACTGATCAAAAAAATGGAGAGCTTAATACAAATTTTGGCCCAAGCTTTTTAAAATAATTTAATTTTTTTTTTGTGTATATAAAATATGTAATGAGCACATGTTTGAAAGTATGGTCGATTATACATGACATTATCAGAACATGAAAGCGATGACTATAGTAAATTTAAGGTCAACATCCCAAAAATTAGATTACGGGGAATATTTTACAACATTTTTAAGATTACTGAATACTTAAAAATTATATAAAAAAGAGCTCACATCATTTTCTTAAATTATATTTTACAGATAAGGTCTCTGTAGAACAACAATAAACTTGTCAACACCTTATCAGCATTTGTCATTACTTGTCAAGTTTGTTTTAAAAATACATTTGTGCTATTTTAAACTTAAAGTAAATAATATTTTTTTCAAACCAGATTAATTATACTTTAAATAAGCTAATATTCCTCAAATAAAGTTTCAGAAAAATATTTTATTTTGGAAGATTTTTTTAATAAAGAGAATTACATTTTGATTAAAGATTGTTAAAAAAAATGGTGAAAAAGGGACATTAATCAGCTATTTTAGAAAAGAAAAAAAATATATTCCAATCAATATAATTTCTGTTCAAAATAAAGAGTATTTTGCTTACTGGAAATAGTAAATTTAATCCTTTAGCTTTCAATTAAATCTAAAATGAAAGCTTCAAGCTTTTTCATTTATAAAAATTCATTTTAAACTTTATATATGACAAATTAGTAAAAGGTTGTAGTTGTATGTTTCCTTTCCATAACTATATAAAATGAATTTGAAATTCACGCTTATGCAGTTGAGAACATTTGGTTTAACCAAAATTGAACAGTCAAACCCCTTATTAATTTAGACAAAAACAATGAATAAATAAATTTAAATGATTAAATTTTAGCTGTTAAACATTCAAATTTATTTATTTTTGCTGATACCTTTAACCATTTTAACAGTAGCAGAAGAGAAAATGACTTGTTAAATTAGCTAGTATAACAGTAATAAGGATCGCATTCAAATTAACAACCAAAAATAGGCGACACTGTTTCCTGTCAACTACTGTTTATTGTCAGGTCGCCAAGAACGTGATCCTCTTTCTTTTTTTTTTTCTTTCATTAACTTCAGAATTATCTCTAGAATCCAAATTTAATGGGTGCTGGATTCTTTTATATTGGTTATAGGTACCTCCACAAGATCGCTAAAGAAAGAGCATAGCATGATGAAAAAGACACCAAACTTGACAAAAACAAAATTTTATCATCTAAATGTTCATATTATTAAAAGGAAAGATCAAAGTATTTTTTTTTTTTTTATGAAATTGACTTGTTAAATTATTTTTTTTTTTTTTACATTTTTTAATCGTTCCTAGCACGTCCGAAATTTTCGTTAAAAATCTTGTTTTTTTTTGAGTTTTTTTGATTGATAATCGATCATGGCAACCATTTTTTCCATTTTAAAAAAAAAAAAAAAAAATCTCAGTTTGAAATTCTTTTTAAAAATCAATTATCATTTTTTCAAAACTTATTTTAAGAAAATCAGAAATTATAATGTTTATTTAAAATATTTTGAACCAAGCTTAACTTAGCTTCTGCAAAAAAAGATGTAATTTGAAAATAAAACAAAGCAGGTCATAAACTTTGTCACTTGACAGGTGATGAATAATATATTTGACGGATTACATGAGGATAATTTGTTCTACGGAAGGAGAAAAGTGAAATTATTTAGATTTAAGTGAACAAATTATTTACCTCATTATTTTTAAGGAAAACTTTCAGCGCTCTAATTTTTTTTTTTTTTTTTGTACTTAGCTTTCACCTTTACGTTTATGATGCTTTATGGAAAAATATTATAAAGAAATTAAAATAAGACTGTTAAGAGTGAGATTAAATTTCATTTCATAAAAGGTATCTAATTAATTTATAGGTACCTTTCTTATGAAATTTTATCAGAAGTGTACATAAAATACTATAATTTTATGTACATTTATTACATTTTACTGTGTTATTTGTATTTCCATTCATTTTATTATTAATTTTGATATTTCATTTATGGAAAAAAATGTCATAACTGAGATTAATATAAAAAATAAGATCATATAAATTTCATAAGATGATACTGATACTTGTAGGTACCCTTCTCAGTTGAAATTGAAAAATCAAATTAACTTCTCCACATGTGTTTCAAAAAAGTAAAGGCCTTAACAGCGGAGAACAATGCTTAACTCAAATAATGCAACTTAATTGTATTCTGGTTGGTCTTCCGTATTTTATAATTACAGCCCGATTATAAACACAAAATTACATTTCTTAATTACTGCGAATCTTCTGATTAGTCAAAATGATACTATTTATAATGCGCTAAAAAAAGATCTATCTCATAAGGACACTTACGAAAGTGGATGCGGCTTTTTAACTAATTTATAATATTTTAACAACTTAAATGTAAAAATCTATTATAATTAAAGAAATAACAAATAATTGTATTAAAAATTCATTTTTCATTGAAAAAAATTTTTTTTGCTTTCAGAAAATATTGTCCATATTCAAAAAAAACTAAAAGCAAATAAAAGCATTTGAAATTAAATAATATCTTTGTTTTATTGAGTTTTGTATGTTACAATTCAGAGCTGATTTTCAGGTAGGGGGGGTCCAATTAAAAAAAAAAAAAAAAAAAAAACATGATTTGCATTCCTCAAAGCCTTGTGCTTTTTAACTATTGTAATCACTAAAACTGACTCGATCAAATTTCTAGAGTTTTCATAAAATTAGTTATGGGGGGGTAATAAATATAAAAAAAAAATATTTCTGCCATGACTTTATAAAAAAAAAAATATTTATAATAATTTCGATCATCTGTGAATAGTTTCTGAAAGTTTCATTAACATCCAACAATTATTTTTTTTTTTGCAAAATTTTCCAAATTAATGTGTGTCATACAAAAAAAAAAAAAAAAACGTGCTAAAAAATTGTATGTTATTTTACTAGTTCTGGTGATACAAAAAGAGAAACAAGGTTTTTTAAATTAAAATTTAGAATGTTCTAAAAAGAAGGAAAAATTTTTTAAAAAAATAATTAAAAAAATTTTTTGATCTTTCCTCTTAATAATAACATAAACATTTAGACGATAAAAATTTTGTTTTTGTCAAGTTTGGTGTCTTTTCATCATGCTATGCTCTTTTTTAGCGATTATAGGTACCTAGTTATCTATTTAAATTATATGTTTATTAATCTTTTCTTTAATTTTTTAGATAACTGTTCAATAACAATTAAAATTTTTGAATTAATGTTTAGAATTAGCAAAAAATAAAAAATCATACTTTGAAGAATATTAAACAAATATTTAAAAAAATTTAAAATTATTAAATTTATGAAGTTCCATTTTTTTTATTTTGTTTTTTTTTAAATAAAATTAAATAGATTGTTCACTTTCCAATTTGATTTAAGAAAAATTTTCTTAAAAACTCTGGAATTTTCAATTTTTTAAGAAATTTTTGTTCAAAAAAAATTAAAATGATAAAAAGACCTTTAAAAATATACAAAATTGTACATGTTATTTGCATATTTTTACAATCAATTTAAAGTTTAATTAATTGAAATTTAATAAAATTTTTATAGCTAAAAAAAATTTTTTTACACTTCTCAAAAATAACAGTTTGGCTTTTTTTTTGAGCCAATATTAGATATTTTATTAAAATTATATATGAAATGTAAACTTTATAATTTGACCAGAATTGACAAATTTACAAAATATAAATTATTTGTTTGCATTTTTTTTTTTTTTACCCCTTGTTTATAAATAAAATTTTTTGCAAACAAGATGAATTAAATTAGAAGAATAAAAAATTTAGGTTTATCTATATTGAAAAGAATTTTAAAGAAAAAATTGAGGAAATTAAATTTGGTCTATATATATAATTAAAGAAAATTTAAAAGTATAATAATGGATGAAATTGTTTTATAAAATTAAACAAATTCCAAAAATATTTCAATGTATAATTAATTTTCATATTTTCAAAAAATTTATTTTTAAAAAAGAAAATGTAGAAATTATATACTGAATTGTTAAAAACATGTTTTATTGATTAAATTCAGGTCCTAAAATTATGCATTTGAAGACCAATTGTGAATAAAAAACCATATAAAATTTTTTTTTAATAATGTCATACATTGATTTTTAAATTTGTTTGTTTACATTTTTAATTTCTTTTTAAACAACAGAAATAAAAATTTAAATTAAAACATAATTTTATGAAATTTGAGAATATTTAATTTTAAAAATAAAATAAAGAAAAAACAATTAACTGGCAAATTTTATAAAAAATTTTCTTTTTAAAAATTGGCTTAATTCTTAGACAAAATTACATTAAATAACAATTTGAAAAATAATTTAAAAATTAAAATTCTTTGTTTTCATTAGATTTTAACTAACAATATAATGCTGATTTTAGGTAGATGAATGTAAGAAACAAAAAAAAAAAAAAAAATTTAAACAATCACTTTCTTTTCAATTTTAAAATTAAATAAATGTCTTTTTTAATTAAAAATAATTTTTTTTTTTTTTTTTTAAAACCATATGGACTGGACTAAAAAATAGCAGAATCAAAGAACTGTACTAAATTTTTAATATCCATCTTTGAATGATTTTTTCACCAAAAAAAAAAAAAAAAAAAATTACAATCAAGATTTTCAATTTAACATCAAAAAAAAAAAAAAGGTTACTAATTTTATTCATCAATACTTTATTTCAAAATCAAAAAAAAAAGAAAATTTTTTTTAAAAATTAAAAAAAAAAAAAAAATTTTAAAAAATCAACAGTGAAAAAAAAATTTTAAAAATAATGGAAAACACTGTTAATTATTCTAAATCATTAATATAAACATTTTGAACAAAATTGTAGAAAGTAAAATATAATTATGTCAAATGATTATCTATTTTTCACAATAATGTAAACAAATATATAAATTTGATGAGATTACATTTTAACCCTTCATCATGTCAAAAAAAAGAAAAAAAAAAAAAGTTTAAAAACATTTGTATGAAAATTGAAAAAATGAAATAAAACTGTGAATAAGTTAGCCAAAAATCAATGAAATGTTAAAAACTCCAGTACAAGAATGTAATCTGTGTTTTCTAATACAAATATGAAAGACATAAAAAATAAAATCTTATATCAAAAGAGTTCTCTGATAAAGTATGATAATTCATGAAAATGGAAAATAATTATTTTCAAAAAAAACTAAAGTTAAAAAAACCATTTTCAAATCAAAGCAGGACCTTTTTCCAAAATAATTTTTTTTTTTTTTTTATTTAAAAATTTTCAAATTCTTTTGTAAACAACAATCACCAAATATTAAGCCAAAAATCACAAAAATGTTAAAAAAACATTTGCAAAAGCTGATTAAAAATTAAATCCCCTTAAAATTTAAACAACTTTTTCAACAAAGAATACTTAAAAAGTAAACAAATTAATGCCATAAATCAAATAATGTATAAAACAAATTGAATACAATTTATCCATATGAATATTTTTTTTCAATGATTTTTCAAGATCTTGTTTATTATTTGTCTGATCACAAGATTTTCTAGGAACTGATATTTTCAATTATTTTTCTTCCCATTGAATATGGGTTATTTAATAGTATGATATAATGAAAGAAATTTTTTTGTGAATTAAAAAAAAAAAAACACAAAAAAAAAATGCAAATATATATATCAAACCAATTATTAAAAACATTTATTTAGATATAATTTTTTTTCATAATGTATATTTTAATCAAAATTTTTAATAAAGGGTAATAAATTTTATTTTTTGATTAAAAAATGATTTTAAAATGAATTCTGTTATATTTTAAATTGAATTATTTTTCAACCACTATTTCCTTCATAGTCATTATCATAAAAATGTCTGTTTTTGACTCTCTGATAGTATTTTTGGAAAATGGAAGTTTAAAAGAATCAATGGATTAATGGTCAACTTTGAATTAGAATGAGTTTGTACCAAAAGATTTATATTCATTTTTTTTTTAAAAATTTTTTTTAAAAAAGTATGCTTCTCATTAAATATAATCATATACACGTCAAATTAACATCTCCTGTGAAGGATGGATTTACAATATTTAGGAATATGATATATATAAACACACAAGAATTTTGAACAAAATTATATGCAGAATTTTAAAATTAAAACTTGTTTGAATGAAATAAAATGCATCATTAAATGGGAAAGATGAAACAATATCTTAAAATAATAAAAAATTTGTTCATTTTCAAAGTTGTTCAATAAAAGAAAAAATTTGTCTTAAAATTCAAATTTTCCAAAACTTGAAGAAAATTTGAAAAATAATGGATTACAATTTACATTGAAATGAAGATTATAGATCTCATTTGAAAACCTGTCAAAATCAAAATCAAATATTTTGCAAAGTGGCAAAATAATTGATTTGTTCAGATAATCACTGAAGTATTAAAAAAAAATTTGATAAAGGAATTAAATGACTGAAAAATCCAAACACTTAAATTTGAAAAAAAAAAAAAAATATTGAAAATAAAATTAAAATAAAAAATAGTTTGTGATAAATTTCCTGGTGTTCAAAGTTGAATATGTTCCAAGACTTTTTAAATTTCACCTTTCAAAAAACACTTTATGATCATTCCAAATAAACAAGTAAACTTAGAAAATAAATCTACTAAATAGATTTACATAATCATATTTGACAAATGTTATTAGATTTAAACAAAAAAAAAAAAAAAAAAAACAGGAAAAAAATTATTAGATTTAATTTTTACACTATTTTGAAATAATTTTTAATTTTAGATTTTAATTTTTAAAATTGTTTTAATTTATCATTAAATTGAATGAAAAGTTTCTCTTCAAAGGTGATTTTTTTTCATATATTAATATATGTTATAAAAGAAATAAAAACCAGCTAAAAACATTCAAAATTACAGTTTTTGATGATAAAAAGACATTCATTTAATTTTGATATATTACTATATATATATATATATATATATATATATATAATAATTTAGGGAAAATTTTAAAATATGTTATAAAACAAGCACAAAAATAAGAAATTTTCTTTCAACACATTCTTGTGTCTTATTCATTTGATGGTGTTGAATGTAGAATAAATGTTTTAAAGGTGAAAAAAAATTATTCCTATAGGGAAAAAACAATAACATTTTGCTGTAATAAACAATCAAAATACAAGTATATGAGAATTCAAATTTATAATGAAGTTCATTAGATAATTTTTAAATTCTAACCATTAGAATGATTTTTAATTTTAAACTTAACGGCCAAAAATTTATACTATAAAATTGGCAAAAATTTAAAATTACCAATTTTAAATTTAAAATAAGTATTAAGTTTAAAAATATTTATATGAAATTATTTAAAGTGTTGGTTGAGAAAAAAAAATCATGTTTTGTTATT